CTGCTCCCACACTTCACATTCTCTCCGAATCTATTGCTAATCAAACATCCCTTCAGAAGGTCTCTCATCCCAATACTAGGGGGAAAATGGCATCAAAATTCAATGCAGTCTTTACGGGAGGGAGGGTTGGGGGCCTATGAGGCAACACGAGCTTTAGGAGAAAAATTATACCAAAATGATCCCGAGAGATTAAAACATCAGGCCACGTTGGCCAGACTTAGCTAATATAAATGTGCTCACTTAAAAAAAGACTATTACATTTATTTATTTGTTTGTTTATTGTGTGTGTGCGCACACACACATGTGTGAATGCACACATATCAGGATGCACATGTGGAGGTCTGAAGACACAGTGCAGGAATTGGTCTTCTCCTCCTGCCGTGTGAGACCTGGGGCTCAAACTCAGGTTGGTAGGCTTGGCAGCAAGCGCCTTTACCCGCTGGGCCACCCTGGCAGCCCAAAGGTGCTTAGGTTTGTGAGATCTGCTGCATAACATCAGGATGTTGGAAACAGCATTGTACAGCACTCGACAGCATCAGACCTCACAAAAGATGCTCAGAATAAATCAGCACCTTTGGATGGGAGCAAGAATAAAAAGTGACCCATGGTTATGTCAAGAGCACACTCGGCAGAATCCAAGGGAGGGGACTGTCCCTGGATCTGGAGAACGTGTTCAACCATGGCCGTGGACAAACCGTGCTGTAAGCCACAGAGTGCAAGGGCTGGAATCCACAGCCTACACGGCAGGCCTGGAGGGACAGAGAGTGACAGGCCTGGACGAGAGGAAGAAGGCTATTTCCAAACACTTACGAAGAGAGGCTGAACAAGGGCAGGCTGAGAGGCGGGAGTGGTGCAGAAACATTCCAGGGAGGAACTTTCTAGAACAATGTGTCCCAAGCCCTTTCCACTGAACTCTAGACCCTGGCATGCTACCAGATGTTACTTGGAAAAGGAAGTCTCTAGTGAAGTAGCTGAGGGGACTAGGCCAGACATTACGGTGAACTTTTTTTTTTTTTGAGACAGGGTTTTACTATGTAGCTCTGGCTGTCCCGGAACTCACTATGTAGACAGACCAGGCTGGCCTTGAACTCACAGAGATCTGCCTGGCTCTGCCTCCCGAGTGCTGGTATTAAAGGCATGGGCCACCACTGCCCGGCTAATATATTATATATATAAATTTATTTTTGTGTATGTATGTTTGTATGCCACAGACATGTGTAGCAGTCAGAGGACAACTTGCAGGAGTAGGTTCTCTTTCCACTTCATGGGTCCTGGGGATCAGACTAGGCCATCAGGCTTGGTGGCAAATGCCTTTACCCGATGAGCCAGCTGGCTCACCCTCCACCTTGTTTTCTGAGATAGGATCTCTCACTGAACCTGGAGCTCACTGATTTGGCTAGACTGACTGGCCAGCAATTCCCGGGGATCCCCTGTCTCCATTTCGCCAGCGCTGGGATTACAGGTGCTTGCTTTTTACACGGGTACCTGACAGACGGAGCCGTCATCTCCCCAGTCCCCCATCACCTGTAATACTACCTCAGTGCTAATTAAAGTTCAACATGAGTTTTGGAGAGGCCATTCAAACCACAGCAGGGCCCTGGGCTGGAAGGAAGACTTCTAAGGTACCTTCACCCCATAATGTGAATTCTAATTGGTCTTAGTAATAAACACCCACAGTCAGATATCAGGGTGAAAGCTGAGAGATCAGAGAAGCAGAGCAGCCAGCCACTAGAAAGACTGCTTACCTCAAAGGAATCCTCAGACTGCCAGGGGCCACACTGTCTCCTCCCGCCTTATCACTTCGGCCCTGCTGTATCACTTCCTGTTTCCTCCTCCCAAGTGCTGGGATGAAAGGTGTGTGTCACCACTGCCTGGCCTCTAGCGGGTGAGCTCCCAGATCTGATCTCCAGGCAAGCTTTATTTGCGAGAGCACAAACAAAATATCACCACATCACATCACCCCTCAAGTCTTTCTGAGTCTGGTCTTGCTAATGTCCACTCATGAGCACTCTTTTTTATACCCCCCAGATTGCCTGGCTGATGCAGGTCACCATGGGCACCTCAGCCACTGAGACCCTGAGTGTGGCCGGAAACATCTTTGTGAGCCAGGTGGGTACCGCATCTACCCAAACCAGACTGGAGTCAGGGGCAGGGATCCAATTTAATTCGAGGGAGAGCCATCCGAACCTGTCCCCAGGGTCACCGAAGGCTGCTGCCCAGGGATGCTTGGTTTGGTGGCTGCATGCCCTGCCTGTGTCATGCCAAACCCAGACGTGGTCTATTCGGCATCTCTGCCACTACAGCCTAGGCTGTTGTCATCAGCTCAGAGACTCACGGGCATTAGATGGGGAAACTGAGGCCAGGAAGCTATGAATGGTTTGGCCAAGACCCCCCAGGGATAAGTGAAGACAACATTTAGGTTTCGTTTGTTTGATTCCTAAGCAGACTTCTTTCCACTGTATTATTTGTCTCAGCTTTCTTCTATCCGAAATGTAGTTTTCAGAATAACTATGGCTCTGAAGGCGCTGGGCCTCCCGAGTCTCTTCAGGCCTGACCCTCCTGAGAAGGAAACTGTGCAAGTCAGGGAGTCCCTAAGAGATGCCCTTGTCAAGTGGTTTCTTATGTCACTGGGTAGTTTAGAAGTTTTTAGAAAATATCAGCCTATTTTTTGTTATGGTGCAAGCATGCTAATTTTAAAGGGTTTTATACTTTGTATGTTTGGTGTTCTAGACAGATGTGGTTGCAGATAAGATGTTCTCAAAATAACC